ATTTTAAAATTAATCCCAAGTCAAATTTTGGGCCCGGGTATTATAAAAAATTTAATAACATTTTTATTCCTTTTCAACAACTCAAATATTTCATAAAAACTTCAATATATATATATATTGTAAAACCTAGAATATATTTAGGAATTTGGGAAAAAAAATTCATAAATATGCTTGTTACAATTAATAACTAGAAAAAATATATTTTTTCTAAAAGATAATTCAGTTGGACTTGAATGTTATATTATGCTTGGTTCTTTTTGAATTATTAAAGGTTTAGTTTATTTAGATAGAATCTCTTTTTGATGGTTTCGCTTCCTTTATTAAGAATTTAAGATCCTTTAGCTATAATCAACATATAAGCCTTATTCTCTATTCCAGTCTTTAACATTAATCCCTCCCCTACCTCTCATTAACTTACCCTCTAATTACCTTATCAATCTATTTCTTTTTTCATAAATCTATGGAGTAGCTTGTTGAGCAATCTTACATGCTTTGGATCTAATAATTAGAAAAACAAACAAAATATTATGTAAAGAAATAGTACTCACGAAAGATGAAGATAAAGAAATTAATAAATGGAAAAAGTATTGATAGGTAAAGTGTTCTTTGTAAAGAATATCTTAGCAAAAGTAGTTCAACAATTAGTCAACTACATTTTGAAACCTATTTCAATCTCTAAAATGAAGTCTTCACTTTAAAATAATTTCATATTTATTTTCAACTATTCAACCTATAATTATAGCTAGAATCCAAATGAGTTTGGAATATCAAAGAATCACCACTAAACTTGCCTCTTTGGTGTAAAAGTTGGGGATCTTGATTTTACAATAGGTATAATTTGGGTTAGAATAAAAGGTCTCCCCTTTGGCATGCTCAACTAAAAAAATGTAGAGTAGATTGCCAACAAGGCAGGAACTTACTACAGTCAATTTAACAAATGAAATAGACAAACTACATTTAAGTTAAAGTTGAAATAAACTTCAACAACCTTATCAACCCCAATGTTCTATTGACCAAGAATAATGGTGAGAATTATTGAATTATATTTGAATACAACAATATTATAGAATTTTGATAACTATGAAAAATTGGTCATGATGCTAAAGACTGTTTTAAGGGAAAATTATAAGTTATAATTTTTCATAAAGAAAAGTTAGTCAAGTAGATTCTTATAATGCCTCCAACATATCTGGACGGGAAATGGGGGAAAATTCTAAGAAGAACTATTCAAAAGCATATCCAATCTAGAACAATGGTTAAATTCTTACAATCTCATTGATATTTAGGGAGCATGTGTTAATCATAGCATGAAGATTCTATGGAGGTAAGGTTGGTTACTTCCTTCTAAGCCTAAAGTTTATAATTCTCTCATCCCATTAATGTCAAATTATATTAAATATCATTCCTAAGTTTCATAGTAGTTAGTCCTAGCTCCTAACATTATGCGTAAGTACACATACTTATCATTGGTTTCCTTTGTACCCAAACACAGAATGACATACATGAGTACCTTGAAACACTGTTATCCCCTTAATACGGAACGGTTAGGGCACATAGATCAGACTGTTTCTCCATACACCCGAACACAGAGTGGTTATATATAAGTACACATTTATCATTTGCCAATACACTCAAATGGAAAACAGTTATGTATGGTCATATTGACGCCTAGTATAATGCAGATGTTTTCGAAATAACTTCTTTCTATAATGAATGATGCACACATATTAAAATCACATTTCAAAAACAAAAAGCGAAATAATATTTATATCAAAGTAAAATTTTAACAAATATTTATTTAGTAAAAATGAAAAAAAAAATTGAACACTTTCACATTTTTATACTTAAAATATGTAAAATATTTCAAAATTACGTTCGTTATGAATCTATAATATCCACTTACCTTAAAGTTCTTAGCTGTAACAGCCTCGGAAATTTAAAATGAAATTTATATTATAAATATCAAATGCGGAAGCGAAGTCAAAATTTGAATAACATCCCTTACACTAAAACCAAAAACGTGCTCACAAAATATAAAAGATCAAACTACCTAAAGGAAAAACTTGGAAGTAAAAGCTACAAATATGACTATGGAGTCTTTAGGCGTCCCCTTCGTCGTCGTCCTGTGGAACCGGCTCGGGAACGATGTCTTCTTGATCTGAAATGATTAAATAAAGAATGAGCTACACTAGCCCAGTAAAGACATCACGATATCTCACCGTCACGGAGGTAAAGGTGGGTAGAAAACACAAAAAGACCAATGGAGCATAATTTACTACAAATCCTTTTATTAATAATAAAACCTTTACCATTCACTTACCTCGGTGAAATCCATAAAACAATATACGAAAGCAACAACATCATCATCATCATGAAACCATATATATAAACTGTATAACATAATACCTATCAAACTTTTCGTAATTCAATCGTTACACAACATATTTTCCTCATTTACCAGCCCACTAGTATCCATGGGGATCCATAGGGGTCCCGCTACCCGTTAACCCTTAACACTTGAAATCATATTCCAGGGCCGTCCCC